CTAATCATTGGTTAATATCATGTTTTGTTCAAACCATTCAGTTGATTGTTTAAAATCTAGTTGTTACGGCTTTACAGTTTTACGGTTGATCACTTTGACAAATAATATCCCGGATTATTTCTTTTTCTTAACAATCCCTTTGATGGTATCCACAATTTGAGAAACCTTTGGATTACTTTTCAACTCCAGCGTCTCACTTACATGAAAAATTCGTTTTGGCAATCGATCATAGAGCCACTTTTCTGGCCTCCATCCATAGTGAACAGCGACAACTCGGTGAACAACTTCCTCTTCTTCGAGAAAAGCTTTGATTATACTGCCATCGAACACTACGTATTCAGCATCGAAATCGAAGGCCCCTTCTTGCAGATGCTTTTCGCTGTCTTGAGTGTACACGATCAGGATACACGTGCTTTGGAACAACTCATCCTCAACCGTGGAATCGTTTCCCAAAACGTCACGTGCGGTAATGACACTCGCTAAGGATCCCAGCTTTATTTTCAGAAAATCTTTCAGTTCTTGGCTGCGATGTTGATCGGCTTGCGTGTAAAGGAGCAAAACACTGGACATAATTTTCGGTCTTTAAAAAGAAGTAAACAGAGGATGGTTACAAGTATTCAAAACGTTCGTAAACTGAGATAAATCTCTTTCTCGTGAAGAAGAAATAGCGTCGGTGAAGTTCTTTCTATACTGATGGGCCATAAGGATACATATGACTAAGTCTTTACAAGAGTATATGAAAAGGATACAGTTTTTTACATACATGTCTACCTGGGTTTGTGAAAACCGGGTTGGGAAAACGGTTTGTAATTTCTCTTAACTTTTCCTGTCTTATCTTTTTTACTGTGTTGTTTTCTTGTGTCGATTTTTTTTCTTTGGTTGCTTCGTGATCAGGGATTTGTGTAGAAAAGGCTGTAAGGGGAATTTTTGGCTCCCCCCCTCCCTCCCTCCCCAAAGGGTGTTTTTCCATCTGCAGGTGCTGTAACTTACCGTCCGGCGTCAGATAAAGGCTTTTAATCGGCCGTTGAATGATTTGTTGTTGTTGTTATTGTTGTTGTTGTTTTAAATGCCAAATAGTAGAATGAGTTGATTTTTTTGCTCACCCTGTTTTCAAAAATCCAGGTATACAGCTGGTGGGACCCAGGTAACTAGCAGTCCGAAGGGACACGAAAAAGAGTTCGAGTTAGCGGGTAGCAGAGTGCAAATCAAATTTATGTCATGAGAAATTAAAACACGTTTAGGCATTTTCCGCGATTATACGTGTACAGGGAAAATATTGTCAAATACGTGATCTGTTCGTTGCACGTATTTAAAACAAACTCAGTGTGTTGTGTTAGTTTTAGCATGTTTTACCGATTGCACGAAAAGAGACGCTATAGGGATGGCCGTCGTGGTGAGTTTCAAGAACCAGAATTCGGGTTATCGGGGTAAATTTCAGTGAAACTGTGATAAAGGGAAACGAAATTTAGTTCGAATTAGCGAGGAATTCGAGTTATCCGAGTAAAAGTGACTGAAAACAGTGAAAAGTGGAGTGAAATGCAAGGAAAATGGGACTTAGTTCGAGTTAGCGGGGAGTTCGAGTTACCGCGGTCCTATTGTGCTACTGTGTGTATATTCTCAAAAATATCGGTTTGGTAAAAAAAAAACAAAAAAACAAAAAACAACAACAAAAAAAACCTTCATGTTGCCCAACCATCAGCAATAAAAAACACAAGCAAGCAAACAAACAAAGAAACAACAAAAAAAACTCTGGCACCAAGGTTTGGAAGGTGTATGTCGTTCTATAACAGTGTTCGGCATTGGGACGGAACATTCCTGCCGCGATTTTGCACAACAAACTACTTAAAGCGACAATGTAATTTTTTTTTCAGACTTCCCACTGTTTTGGAAGAGGTCTTTTGTCTTCCCCGCTCGTATTGCATAACGAGTCCATAACGTAATGTAACTGGGTGTTTACAGTTCGTACGAATGTCGAATGCTTTTAACTGAAAAGTACAATACTCAAGAAGTTCATACGACTAATAGCGACAGCAAAGAACAAACGAGCGCAATCATTATTGGTGAGCAGTTAGACAGAAATGATCATTATTCTCTGTGGGCTGTCAAAATTGCAGCTATGTAACTGATGTAAGACTAATGTATACAAGGCGAGATTGTGATACCATTGATTGTTCCGAAAGGAATTTCCGGCGCTCTTTTAGGGTAAGCCACATTTCAGAATCTTTAAATTATTATATCTCATCGTATCCTTTACAACGATCTACAAGTTGCTGTCTTAATAGCAATTTTAATGGAACAACAACAACAAACCCAAGGGAAATGAAGCCCCGACCTACGGATGCATGGTATGTAATTGAAAAATAAAATAATTTAAGATAAAGAGAACTATTTAACCTTTGGCTTCCTTCCGATGTGGCCCAGTACAGAAACTGTTTTTCTGTTAAACGAAACGTACTCTAAAATCTAATCTAGCCCCGAAAGGAGTTTACAAAAGAAATCATTTTAATTTCAAAACAGCACCTATGTATCTCGAAACGAGTACGGCTGTATGGGCTGGTGAAACACGACAACAGAACGGGATCGTGTGACGCAAAAATGCAGTTACTATACATTTACTTCTGAGACAATAACTTATACTTTTGGTCTGTTTTACACCGAGAGCTGTTAGAGAACAAGTAAATACAGGCTCAAAGATATGATAACAAATTTATTGAATATAAAACATCCATCCAATAAAATAATAAGGGCGTTTGATAATAGTCGCCTTTCTCTCCGGAACTCAAAAAACATTTTGAAAGGCTTTGATGACAGGAAAAACTCTCGAGTCCATCTTTTAATAGCTTTACTAGGACTCGAATTGTCGTTGAACAGAAAAAAAATAAAAATGATAATGATAATATTTTACTTACCTTGTTTCATGCAGCAGTTGTACAGAAAAAGCCCTTCAGTTTAACTGAAAACTCTACGAGTCGAAACGAGAGAGCCGTCTGATTGTTGGCGATTGTTTTCTTTGCCCCTTGTAAATGTCGCTTACGTCTGTATATTGATGGGCATCTTATTTCTCCCAAATAATAATAGTAATAAAGGGCATTGTTGATAACAGAACTCCCATTTCCTTAAAACGACAGTAACTCTTCCCCGGGGGATTACTCCTGGGAATTCTTGGTGTGGGTGTGCCGCGCGGTTCTCCAAATCCTGACCCGCCTATTTCAGACCAAGACCTGGCCTCTAGAATCCATACCTGTTCTCAGACCTGGCGTCTAACATCCTCTAAGAAATTATGACATCTAACTTAGATCTTTTAGCTTTTGGCGTCATCATGTTATCGGGTAAGCTTTTGAAGTTTTCATTCTGAAACAGTCAAAGCCAAACATTCAGAATGAATCGAAGAGCCACTGCATTCCTTTAGTGAGTTCCATGACAATATTCGTCCTATTGATTTTGAACTCAGCCGGAAGATTTAAGGTGTATTCCCAGTCATAATTTTTGAAACGCTTGCGAGTTTGTCCTTCCCTTGCCTTTCAATTCAATGTTGATTTAGAAGACGTTTATGCCCAAGCAAACACTTGAAACCAACATGGAAGGAAGGGGAGGGAAGCAACCACTAAGTTTGGGTTGAGGGTCTCAATGGGGTGGTAGCTTTGACGGTTGACGGTCATTTTTTTTCCCAATTTTGACGGTCGGCGGCTAAATTTTTAAGCCTTTTGACAGTTGACGGCTATTTAGGGAAAATTTAGGAATCGGTCAGTATAAAACATGGGCTGCGGACTGCGGCTAGGTATAAAACACGGACTAAGTATAAAATGTGGACTACGGACTACGTTGGTAAAAACTGTGCTAATTGGTTCTAGGTTTGGTAAAATAAGATCAAAAGATCGCTAGATAGCACAACACGTGAGTTTAAGACAGTTATAAATACTCTTAGAAATTCTTGGGGGATGTGTTGCCGCCCGGTTCTCCAAATTCTGCGCCTGACCAAAATGCTATTTATTACACCCATTTTTAGACCTGGTCTCGGTCTCTGGTTACGGTTCAATCGATGGGTTTGTTCTCATGCAGTTACGAAACAGACGTAGGGCTTCAAAAACACCTTGACAATGGTTTTCCGCTTGCACAGATAGTCGAAGTTTGACTACATTAAGCGCCAGTACCTCAATATGGTAAAGCGAGGAACTGTCAAGGCCACTTTTAAACACGAATTCTAATAGCGCGTCTGCACTCTCACAGAGCAGAACATGTTGGCAAGGTCCTTATAGGGATGGCGTTAAAGAAACAAAAGTCCTCCTCGTGGTTTCCTGAAAAGGTCAAAACACATCCTAATTATATATTCCTTATGGGCGAGGAAACAGCCGCTACGCATCGCCGACGCAAGTTGGCTACCTGTCAAAGCAACCTCGCTCCTGCCTATTTATGTGACAAATTCCGCAAACGATCCTTGACCATCCATAATTGGGCTACTCGCTAGCGTGATACCCTAGAAATACCACTGTTTAAAACGTGGTCAGCGACGTTTATTTACAGAGCTGTTGACATCTGGAACAACTGAGATGACAAGCCTGCTCCTCGTTAAAACGTTATAAAGACTTATTATAATGAAGAACCATTTAATTTTTAAACAATAATTTTAATGTAATATATTTCTTCTTTAATTTTTATTTTGTAAATAGTGACAATAGGGCAGGCTTCTCTTTCAGTTCCTATGTTGCTGTTGCCAAGCAAGTCCACATTTCACATTTTCAGTGCCGACTGGAATAAGCGCGACAAAGTTTGAAAAGACGCGAATTCATTTTAAAAGTAGGGAGCTTTAGCATCGACGAGCTTTAGCATCGACGACGGCGAAAAAGTCACTTTTAAAATGAATTCGCGGTTTTTCAAACTTTTTTTTGCCGTTCTCGTTGCCGTCGCCGTCGTCGTTGCTAAAGCTCCCTAGTGACTTTTTCGCTGCCGTCGCTGTCGTCGATGCTAAGGCTCCCTATTTAATATTTGGCGGGCTTTGTCACTATCAAATGGACCCGGGGACCCTCCCACCGTGTTACTCGCTGTGACGTAAGCTTTGAACGTCCGTTGATGACGTCACGTCCAGTTGCCCGGTCATCTTAAAAATCAAGCGCTTCGCTAGCGGTTGTGATAAAACCTAAGACTCTAGAAGCATAGAAGGGAAAGACAAATTATCGGCAGATCCTTTAACGGCAATTTTGGCGAGTAAAGACCATCTTTATGGGATTTATGGACCTTCGAGCTGGAACGGTCGGCGTCAGACTCGCTAGCCTTCTCATATGTCTTATCTTAAGGCGTCCAGTAAACGAAAATCCTTAATTAACAATGACCGAGACCAGGTTTTATGAGAGCGTGAGAGTGAGCACCCCACCCAGAACCTTGTTTTCACTAAAACCGCTGGGACACCAACTCCCGCTTGACATTGTTATCTTAGGTCTTGCCAATAAAACGGCTTCCAAATGGCTCAAGAAACAAAGAGACACTTAACAAAACAACAACGCAAGGTGAGACATTTTTATTTCTTTTTTTGTCAAAAAATGAAATTTAGGACATATTTTGTTTATTTTCATAGGGCCTGTTTACATGAAGGTGAGGGAACCCCAGGTAGGTGAGGACTGAGGTACAATGTGGAAAGTTACCCCGCCTAACATGCAAACGTGATCACATCAAAATGGAAGATTATTATATGGACAGGCGGGTTACCCCATCTAAGCAGGTTACCTCACCTACCTGGGGTTCCCCACCTCCATGTGGACAGGCCCATAGAGTCATTCTCTTATTAAATTCGAAGTCTAAAGAACTCCCACAGAGTCTGGGCTACCTGTGCTTAAATCGACCGTATCAGTCAATTACAAGTTACATCTTTTCGCCTTTAGAAGCTATATTTTCAGCGTTGTATTCACTATTGCTTATCATCATTATTTAAAAATATACAAGAAGTTGAATGGTGGAACGTTGACCTTGTCATCTTCCACACTAATTCCGGGTGCGATATTTTGACTAGGGTGAGTCTTGTTGGCTCAGTGTCACGCAACAGAGTCGTATGTGACGCTTTGACACCTTTGAAATTAACTTTTCTGATGACTTTATTTTTTTGTAACCCAATTTTTTAGCCATCCTACAGTGCTAAATAACAACTTGAGGATAGTCAGTGTTTGACCTGCTGTTACTTACTTATTTACTCACTAGAAATACGTATCGCAATAACCTTCGCGAAACTCGGTTTGTTAACGGCACTCCGTGCACTCCGCAAGTTAAGCCCTGTCGGTCGGGGTTAAGAACTGGATGGGTGACCAACCGCGTACGTTGTTCTTTCTTTTCTTCTTTTTCTTGTTTGCGTATTATGTGGTGTTATTGTTAACAGTGTATTGAAAAGCAGATTTAGCATTATTTCGGCGTCCGGATTTAGAAAAAGACCAAAACAAAGAACAAACTGAATTATTGGCCTGAGCATCAGGCGTTTCTGGGGGAAAAGGGGAAAGATGGAAAGCGAAAAAGGGAGAGAGCTGAAGAGAGAAACGCCTGACACAGATGCTTTTACTGGAGCCTTCCACCCCCACACAGCATGATTCGATACCATCCAATCAAAATCACATCCGGTCATTGGGTTGTCAGCTTCACCTGTCAAAAAGCTCGCCTAAAATAAATCTCACCTTACCGCTTACGGTCTGGCCGAGCTCCGGTGCTTGTATTGCTACGATTTCGCTTTTTCTGAAACCTCCAATGAGAAGTTTTCGAATACTTGTAATGGAAAAACTACCGTTTTTGAGGAATTAAAACATGTTTTAGGAATTGTGCTAATGTGAGATCGCCAACGCTCTGTTTGTAAATAAACGTGTGCCCGGAAAACTGTAAATTGCTTTTGTTTACAGAGTTACAACAGCGGTTCTCATTAATAATCAAGTTCCTGAGAGTCTGGCAGCTAAATAGCTGATGTAGATCAGGCCGAAAATCGTCCGAGGGAAAATCTAAAGTCAAGCTAAAGCCTTGGTGCTGTCGGCTATTCTCAATGCATGGCTACCTCGCTCTAATTTTATTTACGCTAACAATACCCTTTTAGTAGTCTCCCTCGCAGCCGTTTTTAGTATCGTCACGCGTTGCGTGACGATACTAAAAACGGCTGCGAGGGAGACTACCCTTTTAGCGGCAGGATGTTGTAAAGCAAAACTTAGATATCTGAAGCACTGATATCGTCTTCTTTGTCCTGTCCTTGTGAAACCAATACTCGGACATAGTTTCGGCAGAAGCTGGTATGTGAGGCTTTTCCATACTGCGAGAACATCTTTCCTTTGAACTACGAGGCTTTGAAAACACATTTCTCGCTCGGGTTTTATTTTTATTCCCGGAAAGAACTTGAGAGCGCCCTCTAGAGCCTCTTTGAATTCCTCTCTGCGTCTCTATCCATAAAATTACCACGTGAAATTAAAACACTCTGCTCGTGTTTACTTGCGGTCGGTGACGTCAGGGCGTATTGTGTGTTACTGCCACATCCAGATTCTGAATGTGTCACACGATTTGCTGAATGGTTTTGTGTCAGGCCTTCCTTTCTCTTCTCCCCCCTCCCCCCTCCCCCATCTAAAATCTCCTCTCCCCTAGCCCCTTAGGAAGGCCTGATACTCAGGATAGAAAATTATTATAGTACGGGCCGTAATACAGAGCTGAAACTTTGCAGATTTTTGATCATTACGAACGATCATAATGCCTCTGATTCCAATCTCCTGTTCCCCTGTCTCTTGTTGTCGGCGTTGCCTTCCCTGTGCCTCCTCCTTCTGCTCCGCGGTTTCTTGTTGACGTCTTCTCCTTCGTTGTTCTGGTTCATGCTGCATTTGAAGTCGGCGATCTCGGTTCAGAAGAGTTTCGGTGGAAAATCTTCCTGAGCGAGGATTTGGAGTCACTTGTTGTGCTTGTGTGTGATTTGCATGGGAAATTGTTCGTGATTAACCGATGGTAAACTTTGATTCACAGACGATGCATAAACACATGAAAATGCGCCTTGGTCATCGTCGGCGAAGTCTATGTTGCCGGGAAACGCAAAATGCTCCATGACGTCATTGGCG